TATAAGAACAAGGAAGTGTGCTGTTAGCATGCTAGTTAGTATTACTGTGATGGTAAAACTTACATACTAGGAAAGCGAGGACCTTTAGACCACTGAAAAACATTCAAAATAAACTTGTTGTATTTTTCACATTTTTAAGACACTCTTGATGTACGGTATGTTGTCATCACTCCTGATCTGAAATGACAGTGGAGTAAATGTCCAAACATTGCATTTTCTTGGCTGTTTCTTACCCCATGCAGTTGAAAGCCTCTTCTAGTGTCCCCCCTAATGTGAACTGTTACATGCAGCACGTATCGTACGTATAGTAGGTAAGCATTTATAGGCTCTTTGAGATTCAATTCATGACATCTCGATTATACAACTGACCTTTTTCACAACGACCGGAAATGCCGCAATGTAGGGTGAATGTCACTTACTTTAGTGCTTTTCTATGGCAAAATATCTGTGGAAATGTCTCGCATATTTTCCACCAGCTTCATAAATCTGCCCCATCGCCAAATCTTCAACCAACAAGGTCTTCAAAGAACATATTCTGTCCATAAACTATCAAGGTAAGAAAGATGAAAACGTAAAGGCAAACAACGACTAACATTAGTGAACTACTCCTGACCAAAACTAACATTATGGCAATGCACAAAACATAAGTAACTTGTTAACTCAGACTGATTCTACAATTAAAATTAAAATTAAATAAAAATTGATTTCATGATGTAGATATTAGCATAGACAGAGAGATTTGTGTAGTTTAAATGCTACACATGTAATCTGTGAGCATCTGTAGCATTCGAACTGCACAAATCTATTTATGCTAATATCGACATCATGAAATCGATTTTTTATTTAATTCTAGAATCAGTCACAGAGTCGCAAGTTACTTATTAATGAATTACTTATTACTTATGTTTTATCCATAAACATAATTTTAGTTTTGCTCAGTAGTTCACTAATGTTAGTCGTTGTTCGCCTTTACGTTTTCGTCTTTCTTACCTTGATAGTTGTGGATACATTTTTCATGGACAGAATATGTCCTTTGTGGACTTTGTTAGATGAAGTTTTGGTGATGGGGCAGATTTATGAAGCTGGTGGAAAATACGCGAGACATTTTACCATAGAAAAGCATTAACATAAGTGACGTTTACCCTACATCACGGCACTTCCGGCCATTGTGAAAAAGCTCTACACACATGTATTTTGAATGGTGGATGAGGTCAGTTATCTGTTTTTTACTGCTGTGTATGTAAATGTAGTGATTAAAATTTAGGTACAGTCACTTTAAGTTGTTTCAGATCGGAGGCTTACAATGAACAAAATGCAAAAACAAGGCTCTACATATGTGACTAAATACATGTGAAAAAGCATAATGTCTTCTTAAAGTTAATATTGGTCAGGTACTTTACAGAATGTATCAGAATGTATGTATGAATGTACAGAAATACAGACAACTCAATCCAGAAGAACAGTTGTGTAATTAAATTAAAAACCTCTAAACACCTCTTAAACATTGGACACCACAGAAACCAACAGTCTTACTTCCTCTTCTGCACCTGTACATTAGCACATCTCTCCATCTTGGTCCTCCTTCTCCTGCATTAGCCAGTGCCCAACACTCCTCCCCATCTGTGCATTTCAAATCAATTGGCTCCATCAATCAGCATTTAAAAGCCATTGTCTGCGTTGCCACATCCTGCTGAGCTACATCCGCCTAACATTTATCTATTAAAACTGCATTAAGTCTACTTTCTCCTCCAACCCCATCCTCTGGCTCCACATTACGATCCATCTCCAGTGTTAATGTATCTGTGAAATCTACTTAAACTTAGCATTCTTCACTGTTGGAGCAGAATTGCAATAGCAGACCACACCCATCTACTTATAAAAGGAGATGATCAAACTTGTACAGGATATAAGCAGTGACAGTGGAATTTACAACTGTGATAAAACATGTGGTAAGTATCAAGAATTATGGACCTCAAATATGTCCAAAATCATGGAATGGAGACAGCGGGAAGCAAAAGTGAACTGGAATACAATGCAATTTTAAAAGAGAAACAGACATTAAACAAAGAGTATCCCAAGTGGTTTTGGCAAATTAAAATAGGAGATTATGATACACATTTTGTATACACATTGTTGTATGTCTGGACAAATTCTTGTTGAAATGTCGAGCCCATATATAGTTTTTCTTCATACCTACAGATACTATTTAACACACTTTACAATAAATTATACTATACAGTTTAAAGGTTAAAAAAAACACAATTTTGTTCCTTCATTTCAAATCAAAAGGAGGGCTAACTGAGATTTCTACCCTAGAAATTCAAGATTGTTGCTTATTTTTAGAGGGATACTATTTAAAAGGGTTTATAGATTCACAAAGTTATATTCTATTTTGGTGTTTAAACAACGTTCTTTTGATGTTTATTCAGAAAATGAGTAAGCCAGGCAAACTTAATACTATTGCTTCAAAATTATAACTTAAAAAGCATATGTTCACTCCACATCTGATTCTCAGGTCTAAATTATTAAAAGTGTCTATCCATCTAGTCCTCACCCTAGATGGCTTATGTGAGTGTGTTTTTATCAACGACTAAGCACTTGCAGAACCTACCCGACTGGAATTTCATTTTATTCTTACCTGGTTCGATTTGCTTTGGCGTTAACTGGAGATTTGCTTTGAAACATCCAATTCTCTACAATTTAGGTTCAGCTAAAGGTATTAGGGTTTATTTTAGACCCCTATTTCCTTGTCTCCTTTCCTAGTTGCTATGGTAACCTTCCCCTAAATTGCCTCATCTTGGAAATCCTGATGGGAGGTTCTTTTTGATGGTATTGAACCAAAGTGTGTACATGAGGGTTTAAGGGGGTCGCAGGAGGCTGGTTGATCCCTGCAAATGTGGAATTAGGGTAGATGGCATTTATACAAACAAACGCTCTTTTTAAATTAGAGTAAAAGAGTAAAACAGTGATTTTTTATTTTTTTTTTTGTCTTGCTATGTGTGGAATATAGAATTCATATTATTTGTTTTATTTGTGATGCATAAGTAGGATATTTAAAGAGCATTATGTAAGTATCATGAGGGAATACGAATACTTGTTTTACCTATAATTAAATTAATGCTAGATACATATGTTAAATGTCATACTGTAAAAAATTCCAGACCAATATCATAATCACGTGGCTGATATCCAACCAGAAAAGTCCAGCATAGTGCACCTTTTAATATGTCACCTTTTGCAATCTGAATATCAATATTTTAAGTAATGTTTCATATTTGGATCAACAAAAACAATCCAATGGAAAACAGTGACTAAAAGTGTCAACAATTTGAGCATGCATTATACTTTTGTATTTTCACAATTACAATCAGCACAGCAGCTTTTTAAACCAACAAAATGTAAGTGACATGATTCATTGGAAAAAGAAAGTTAAAACCATACCTCAGAACATTCTCCATGGAGATAAATAGGTGTTATGCTTTACTTTATAATGTGGAAGTGAAATGAACTACATTACCAAGGAAAACAAACGGGAGGAACATGTTTTTTTCAGAGAAATTAAACAAAATCCTCCAAAATGAAAAAAAAAAAAAAAAAAAAAAAAGAGTTTATTTTTGGCTCAAACCTTATGTACTGGGTTTTTAAATGTTGGAAAGATATTTGGCTCAGAAAAACTATAAAAGTATGATCATCCCTTTTGTTTGGCACTCTCCTATGTTCATCAGCTTTTACCACTGAAAAACACAGGGCCACAGGGTTTAAAAAGAATTTTACATTATTATTGTCGGCCCAAATGTGTTGTCTCATCAAACTGTGGGAGGAGGACAACAAATAGATGTAGCGCTTTCGCGGATGGAGAGATGTGAGCCGTGCCATAAGTGCCACAGGCCTAAGAGAAGCACGCTCAGCCTGTCCTCCTGCGCTGCTTTCAAAACAATACGACGTTTGAGCTCCTTCCCACTGGACTTCTTGTTTTTCCCCTGACACTTTTTATTATTAGACTTTCAGACCCGGTTCGTGACACTGAACATAAACTGGCTTATCAGGAAAGTGCTGGGTCGTGTTTGAAGATAACAAGAAAAAAATTTAAAAAAATCTGAAAAAGGGAAGTGGTACCTCTTCCTCTTTCATTTGAGGTTATCTCACAACACAGAGACAGAGAGAGAGAGAGAGAGCATATTCTCTTAAATGCACCATTTGAAATTGAGTTAGTTCTTATTTTGGTTGATAAAATCCAATACAATTTCAGAAAAATAGTGGAACACAGTGTAATGATAAAAAAAATATATATATATATATATATATATATATATATATATATATATATATATATATATATATATATTAAAGGGGCAAGTTTTTTGGTTAAGGCTCTGAATTTTGCTAATAATTTTAATGCATACATCTCTATGAAGGCAAGCAGGTGGCACCCCTTCACCTTTTAATACTCAGTATCATTTTTTTTTTTTGTCAAAATACACTAGAAAAAAGTATGTTTTTCTCATGTTAGTTATTTTTATTTCACTGAAAAGACTGCTTCTTTACTGAGAGTAGTCTCCACAAACCTGTCTTTTTTTTTGGAGAAGGCCCTCCTCCTGCTTGTTTCCATGGAAATGTTGCTATTTTGGCAATAATATTCCACAGTAAGGCATAAAACCTATCTTCCAAACTATGATTTTAACTTTTTAAGACTGAAATCATGCAGGTGACCTGCCACATCTAAAATGTAACATGGTGTTGCTATAAAAAAAAAAAGAAATAAGTAATAAGGTAATAAGTAACGTCATATAGACTACCTGTCCATTGCAAGGTAAATTTAGAAATCATTTTTATTAAATATTTGATATTTCTTTAAAGGTTCCATTGCATTATAACAGTACTATAAGATACAACAGGTGTCAAAATACTTAACCTGTTTCTTATTTCTGCTTATCTCCCTTTCGGACTATATGATCTCTTATTTGCCCTTATTTTGACAGCCTTTATAACACTCACTTCAGTCTGGACCCCACCCCCTGCTTCCTGCATCACTGTTTTGACAGCTCTGCTCTTGTCTAGACATCAGAGGAACTTCAGATTTGCTCGTGTCATACTTACATTCTGCCCACGGTAAGCTTGTTCCTGAACTATTTTTCTCTTTGCGACCCTATTTGAAAGTTACAGTTAACCTCAGGAAAAGAAAGCCACAACAGCATCAAAACAACATATTGCTACCTGCTTCATATCACCAGGAAGTAACAGAGTTTGACATACAGCTATTCTTCAAACGCTGTTCCTTCAATTGGTATTTGGGCTGTTTCCTACTCATGAATTTCAAAATGCTGTAGTTTAGTGAACACGCATTTGCAATTGATAGGAAATGAGGAAACATCTTCTACTTAGCATTTTGACACGTTTTTGAACTGTTGGGGAAAACACTCCAAGAAGAAAACATGAAGTGGTCAAAATATCATTCATGCTTTTTTTGCAGTACAGCCTTCAGCTTTGATCAAAATGAAAGTCAAATCAAGAACCAGTCTAGTTTAAGATACTTGAGCATACTACAAAAAAATATTTACACCTTAAGGTCACTGTACCTTCGCTGTAGTATGCATGTTTTTATTATATAACCATTTCAAAAAAAAATCTGCTGTATGCTGCTGTATGTGCACAGTTAGCATGCTAGTTGTTGTTAGCATTAGCATGACAGCAAAACCTGCCTCTGAAAGTTGCAGGATGTTCAGAATACATAAGAAAAGTCAGGAATAACTTTGGATCACTGCAAACCATTCTTTCAGACAGTGAACTCAGGTACAGTGTTTTAATTAATAATGAACAAATTGTTTATTAAGCATGATTAAGGCTTCTAAACTTTTTAATTAAGGGGTTAGAATCCAAGGTTAGTACATTCATTTATTTATTATTTATATATTTGTTCCCTCTGAAGCAATGGAGGCAGACATCTTTGAATATGCCCAAGAGCCACAGAGTGAAGACCCTGAATTTTTCATTGGTAAGTTAAGTCTACACATGCAATGTTATTTAAAGAGACATTGTGTAACTTTTCTGTGTGTTGTTCAAGTTCAGCTTGTCTCTATTGAAAAACAAGTTACACAGTGCACATTTGATATAAATATGTTGATTTATTTCTCTTTAACAGTGGCACCCATGATGCACATTTGATTGCCCTAGTTGATCTTTGCTACTTCTAAAATAAATTTAGTTCAACCACACAATTTAAGCATTGTTATTATCCTTAAGGGAACTCTTATAAGTGTGGCACGAAAGCACAAAAATAGAAGCTCTGCCCAACTGTTGCTTGTACTAATTTGGCGTAGTCTGTGCTCAGCTCAAACAAAGCCTTTCACAATTGCACAAGAGTGACTAAAATAACTTCACCAGTGACAGCAGGGGTACAACACTTGCTCTATTAAAACTCTCATAAGCTCAATAAAGCCATGTGCATTTAGAACTGCAGAATAACATGTCTAAAAATAACAGAGCTGACTAAAAGATATTTTGTGTACTCACGCAGGGGAGAAGAGGAAGCTGATTCAACCAACCTCCTTGAAAGACTCAAAGCTCATAGATCTCAAAGAAGTAAGAATTAATATAACTAATCTTATTTTGAATGTAGCATGTTTTTACATTTATATTCAGCAAATCATTAAGGCACATTATGTAACTTATGTTGGGGTACCCGCCACATGCTTGTCTTTTTGGAGATGTTATTGCTGTGCTTAAATTGTTTCACCATATGGCATTTAACTTGACTTTCATGCTGTAGTTCAATTACAAGGACTTTTTTGTTGCTAAAACATACCTTGAAAAACATGGCCTGGCCTGGTGTCAAAACCCTGCTTCTCTTCATGGAGACAGAGAAAGTGAAATGCCAATTATGCCATACAATGGAACATTCTATCAAAGCAAAAACATCTCCATGGAGACAGGCTGGAAGTAGACCCTTCAAATGAACATAGTGCACCTTTGACAATATAAATTAGGGTGAAAGAGGAAGCATAACATAGCAGCGTAACAAGATAACTAAAGAACATAGACAAATGGAGCTCTCCTAAGCCTCTCCTAAGGTCTTATGTTACAATGGATAACATGTATTCCTTGACTGTGTCCCAGGCTCAGAAATCTGAAATATACCATTACCTAGTTGTGAACAGTGGATTTATACATATGTACAGTATATATATGTATATGTAGTTTTTCAAAATAGTGTGAAATTCTTTGCAAAACGTCTGGGTTAATTATTATATTCAAAAATAAAACATATTTTGTAAAAGGGGACATATTATGTAAAACCCACTTTAAACAGTGTTTAACCTGTTTATTACCTATACTGCTTTGTATTTTTGATTGACTCATTCATCTTTGAGTAGTCCTGTGTTGTCCAGCACTCTATGAATGCACAAAAAATTTCTGTTTTCGCCTACCCCCTATCTCCACCCACTGTATTAAGTTGTGATCATTCCAAAAAAAAGAAAGAACAGGAAGTCAACAGGTCTGTCTGTTTTAAGCCATTTTAGAACAATATTGTGACATACAGTGAAGAAAACGTGGCATATGATCTATAGTTGCTAAGTACTGCCTCAAAAACATAGTATGTCATCTTAAAGGCTCCTTCCTAAAGCTGTGACTCAGTACATTGTGTCTTATGCGCATTATAAAAGCAACATAAGAAATACATTACAGGGCTGACACGACTGTACCCCATGTGTTCTTCTGAAGGGAGGCCATGAATTATATCTGATGCCGGGAGAGAGGTGGAAGATGGGTGAAATTTTAATGAACTTAATTATACGTCGTGATGGCAGACAGATTCCAAAGCGGAGCAGGGGAGCTGACAGTTCACACGGTAACAGGTTTAGATGAGGAAAGACGATAGCAACACGAGGCTGTACGAGTCAAGTTAAAGTCTGTTGTGGAATGGTCAAGTATGAGTCGATAACTGGAATTTCTTTTAAATAATGATAAAATAAAATTAATTATAGGAGGTAAAAGTTGCATAGCTGGATGAAAGCTTGCGTAACAAATGCCCAAGAATTTCTGGTGGGTCCTTGGGCAATACACACGCTTACTTAAGTCGTACTATGACTGAATAGCTGAAGATTTTTAAAAGTTAAGATTAATTAAATAGTAATAATGGTTCTTGAATGTGTGGTTGTCATTGTGGTAACCTTTGAGATATACAGCGCCACTTGCTGGCCTGACAGGGTTACTACAGATTTCCCCAGCTTCCATAGTTTAGTGCCATCAATAATCCCAGTATTGATGTTATTTCCCAGTATGAGGCAGTGTTTAGGCCCCTTCATCCTGATTTACTGTCTATTTTTCTCCAAAATTAGGCAGACTGTTAGAAATATTGTCAGAAATCAAAAACTTCCAAACCAGTCTCAACTAAACAGCTAGTTTGCTTGCTCAATGAAAAAAGTAGATATGATCGATAATATGATTTGATACAATATTTCAGTTTTTTATTTATTGGATTTACATTTACATGTGTCATTAGTGTTCAGAGCTTAGAACTAAATATAATATAGAAACAACGGTCCAGTAGGAATGCAAGGGGTGGTTTTCTAACTTAAATAACTGAACCAGGGCATTAATAAATAAAGCAACAAGAATTATAAGAACCATTTAACTATAAACTTGTGGTTGTCTCTACTCTAAGTGCTGTTACTGTAATCACCATACCAGAAAAAGCACTCCCATACCCATCATTGTTCTTCATATCGATTGAGGATTGAGTGAAGTTTAAAGAAAGTGGATTCATGCTGTTTGCGTCTGGTTTTGCATCAGAAGAGAACATTGATGACGATGAGAGCTCCTGCGTCTCTGACTGTGAGTTGATTTGTGTATTTGCAGGCGCTGGTGGATTGGATCAATAGCACTCTGAAACCGGAGCACATTGTGGTCCAGACTTTGGAGGAGGATCTGTTTGACGGACTGGTCCTCCATCACCTGCTGAGTGAGTGAGAGGCTAATGCACACTACAGCATAAGAGCTCCTACACCGCCTGGCTCCTCTGTCAAATCTGCTCCATTCACGATAATGAGGGTTTATAGCAGGGGATGATGTTTCAAATGGCTTCACTCATTTGTGGTAGAAGTGTAAGTAGCAGGGATGGGATGAAACACTATTCCCACAAGACAAGACCAAACACAAGATTGGGTTCATGAGAACAAGACAAGACAATATTTTGGCATAAACTAACATTAAAAATATATTTATTATTTTACATTTTTGCTGTTATTGTTCCGGTGTTTTTTGGATCTAAACTATATTTCTCAAGAGTTGTAACCACTTTTCTTTTGTTGAGCCAACTGTAAACATTTAATTTATTTATACAGACAATGTACAATTACATTAAGCGTAAAATCTGAGATGCTTGTACTCGAAGGGGCCATAGCGCAATATAAGTAATGCATATAATACATTCCACTTACAGCCTTATCCACACTCAGAGCTATTGCTTGAGTACATTTTTAGTGCGTAACGGAATACAAATGACCATATTGGTGAGTAATTTTATTTTCCTTAATTAAGATTTCTGGATATTACTTTTAATTGAGTAATGAGTACACATTCAAAGTAGCCTACCACTTACTTCACCTACAATTTGAATTATTTGATTTGATTTGAATTATTATAACAGTATCTGAGGTGTAAGTACACTTGTAATAAAAGTACTAGTCTTTATAAGTGACTGTGAGACGGACTAGGACATTCTACCGTCTGAGAGCTCTCACTGCCGCTCCTCAAATCTCCTCTGTCAAATGTGCTCCATTCACAATAATGACTTTTATATCAGAAGATGAGAAGTGTCAAATGCAAAGTCCTCACCTTCAAAATGGACTGGATTGCACCTAGCTATACCTACTCGAGTTATTACAATATATATATATATATATATATATATATATCTATATATATATATATATATATATATATATATATATATATATATATATATATATATATATATATATATATATATATATATATATTTTTTTTTTTTTTTTTTTTTTCCCTGTACTAAAGTTAAAATTGTCTTGCCCCAGTACAGATTCATTGTAGAAGAAGCTCTTAGCTCTATTTATGGAGCATTTTATTGCCTTTGAACCAGGAAAGAAGGCTGGCACACAGTTAGCATGCTAATTGTTGTTAGCAGTGTAATTTCCTACCATTGCCAAAAGAGGTGATGTTCCTGTGCTATGTGAAAAAGAATATGTAATGGCAGGTTTAAAATAATGGGAGTAGTAGTTTATTAGTTAAGAAGTTACTTCCCTACTATGTCTGAATCATTCCTAATAAACAATTTGTTCATTGTGAATTAACTCTTTGTTCATGTTTTATTGAGATGTTTTGTAATAAAGAGGCAGCACAAATTGGAACAACAACCAAATGAGCATATAAAAACATAAGCAGCACTTATTTTTGTTTCACTTGCCTTTCTTTCTGCAAACATCATTAAGTCTGATGAAGTCTTGTTAATTGCAGTGCGTTTGGCCAAAGTAAAGTTGCCCGTGGAGGAGATAGCCTTGACCTCTGCTGCCCAGACCCATAAACTGGAGGTGATCCTGGGACAGCTGAGCCAGCACCTGGGCCTGGAGGAGGACCAGACCAAGTGGAGCGTCCAACGTGAGTCACCAAGCTCCAGGCAACAACAGCAACAAATGGAACAAATGTGCAGCCCTGGTGGCATTTAATATAAAAATATAATAGAATACAACAACATTTAAAGTGCACATGACAGGTTCATATTTTTTATAAGTATTACTTGGATTTGGTGGGATACTAATCGAAACTAGTATAGATACTAATTTGTAGTACATTTTCATCAGGTATCGAGGCAAAGAAAAAAAACATTCACAGGAAAGAACTAAACCTTTTCTGAATAGATTTAGAATGATCTTCAAAACACGCATAAGAGCACATAGACTAGTATATGCCCATGGACCACTATGGAACCTTTCTGGACGACTGAGGGACTTTATAGATCCAACTTCACATGGTAATATAAAAGTACTATTATTTGATGTTGAACATCACCTTCTAATGTCTAAGAAAGAAAGTTTTTGTAATATTATAGTTGCTAGCCAACCGTTATGGAATTACCTCTATGTATATCATATTCAGTAGCAATCCTGCACCTCCCCCCGGGACCACAATAAAACTTTAAAACTAGACAAGACTTTTTTTATATAGTAAAAGCTTAAATATAATGATGTTAACTATATTTTATTGAAATAACCTGACATATGCACTTTAATGTTACCTATGTTAGACCACTCCAAAGATTTCTGTGAGTATACACATTCACCTGGGGCACTGGTGTCGAAAACATATCTGAACTTTTTTGAGAGAGTATCAAGACTTTATATCTTTTCGAAATGTAGAAGAGCTGAACTGAGATTGAAAATGAGAATGAATTGACCCACAGTTGGCAGGATAGTCAGTCAGCCAAAAATCTATAACTGGAAAATCCAGAAGAAAGTGGTTACAAATATATAAAGATATAAAGATGTATTTGTATTTGCTGATCTATGTATGTTATAATGTTTCCTCTTCACAAACATACCTGGAGTTTTATTTCATTCACACACATTTAACACAGAGATCTTCTTCAGAGTTCTTCTCCCAAATGCAAAACACTATGTTTCACCTTGTGATGCCATGTGGTAATACAGGAAGTGCTCCACTCTATTTTTAAACTAAATTCTTTATTAGAATCATTTGGATGATTTCAGCCCTGGAATTGCCAATCTCTTCACAGGGTAAAACAGAGCATTTTGAGCTTTGGAGATGTAGACAGACTGATAATGAAGACTTACTCAAATATGTGTGAATGAAAGGAAACACAACTCCTGGTATTTTTTTATGCAGTAACAACATTATAACATGGCAAATTGTGTGTGGTTTAGTTCCATTTCAGACTTTTTCTAGAACTGCTGTCATCTGTCATAAACCTGGTATACATCTGATAGTACTAGTAAACCTCAGTATTTTTTCAGGTGGTGCAACAATTCATCAACCATTGATGCATGATGAACAAAATCTGTAGATATATAATTACAAATGGCTTTCCGCTATGTCGGTATGCATCACTGAGTATAAAAAGGTCTTATTAAATGTGTTGACTCCATAAAATGCCCTCCTCATCCTTCAAACCCATTTCTATTGTGCCTGTGTATAATTCAGTGACTGCGCCTATACATAGCCTTGACTTCTCTCCCTGTGCTGTGGCCTGTTCTGAACACAAAGATTTCATGTGTTTTGTTCGCTCCTTTTCGTCTGTCAGTCAAGCATAACAAAGATCTCAAGCCACAATTCATCATTTAATCTTTACTGTATGTAGCCTTGCAAAACCGATACAGTATATTACAACAACACAAGTGGCCGGTAACGAAACAAATACTTAGTTAAGGTCATTAATTTTCTATAAATTAAATTATGTTATAAACTAATGTGACAAAAAATATATTGTTTCCAAATGTAGTTCAAGAATCTTGAGACTTGCACTATAAGTCTGTGTGTGGCTGTTACTGACAATAATGGATACCCCAGTATATTTCTGGATTATCCCAATGATGATTATTGCAAATGAAATTATAGTAATCCACCAGAAATGTGCTGTAACAGGCTTAGCAAAAGAAAAAATACAAATCTTGTCAACTGGGAAAGGTTTTTAGAGTGAAGATGTTTCACTGAGCATCCTGGCAGCCGCTTCAATTTTGGTCTGACGCTGGTGGACACTGAAACTAACATATACATTTATAGTTGCGTTTTTTGCTTTTAATACACAATTAATACAATCCATAAATGTTCTCTTTGAGTAGTAAATGTTAAACAGTTTCATAGAGGTCCAAATTTTTTCCAAATTAACCTTGTCAATTCCGAGCATCGAGTGGAGCAGAGTTTCACCATGACGGTAAAGCTAACAAAAAACTATCATACTAAAGTCCACTTCCTGATTATCAGACAATAAAATACTAGACCGCATGCAGCAGACCTATTTACTACACCTCAAGAGCTACTTATACAATATATCTATTTTGGGGTAGTTAGATGCTGGGCTTTAACACAAACATATTTGTATACCCTCATTTGAAAGAGCGCATTGCAATTTTATGGCCCTCTTTTTTTTAGTTTTTGCTACTTTTTTTACTATAACAGTGTATTCAATATTGTAATTTTGAATATCTCGGAAACAAGTGTGCTACCAAATTCTCAATATAGGAACAGTTTTCTTGTAGTGATCATTGTGTGTGTATATAAGGGTTTTATATGGGTTTTATATTCAAATTTAAGCTCAATTTAATTTCAAAATGTGAATTTGAGCAGGACTATGTTGGTTTGAATGATGCTTGACATACACTGAAAACCCCTTTTATGACTTTATCTCCATAACCATAACAGTCAGTATTTTCCCATACGGTTCCTATCTAACCCTTTGACATTCCTCCCATGCGCTCGCTGATTCCATGTGTTTTGTTCGCTCCTGTTCGTCTGTCAGTCATCCACAACAAAGACCTCCTGGCCACTGTTCATCTGCTGGTTGCCATGGTGAAGCGGTTCCAGCCGGAGCTCGAGCTACCGTCGGATGTTGAGGTTGAGGTGGTAGTGGTGGAGGTGAGATAAGCCTTTTTAACCAAGCTCAATAGGACAAAAACACGATGTGATTTTGATGTCATGTATTTCGATTAACTGTGCTTCCAGGTGAGCAAAAACGGGATTAAATCCGAGATACATAAAGAGATGTTGACAGAGAAGAGGTGAGTTGCATTTAGACAGTGAGGCATATTTATATAATGATTGTTGCAGAAAAAAATGTAGCAGCCCAAAAGTTGAAGAGAAGAGGCATATTGGAGTTCTAATGCAGACGTTTATTTACCATCAGTACAAACCCAGCACCTGGAGATATTGTGATAGTGTTCTCCACTCTAGTCTAGTACAGTCTGGATATGCTTTCTTTGTAGGGAGTATTATACCTCTGATGTTTCCTGCAAGATAACAATGAGGATAGCAAGTGCCCAGAATGGAATTTCTCTCACAATAATTGGGTGACAGTAGCTCAGGGCGACAGGAGCTCAGTTGGTTGAGCTCCTGTTGCTCCTGAGTTGGTTGCCAATGATCCAAAGGTTGGCAGTTCAAATCCCGCTCTTGGCATAAACATCATTGGTTGAGTGGTCAGATCTACTGACCCACAGGTTGGCGGTGTGACTCCAGATCCCACCGATTAATACTGTGGTTGTGTCCTTGCCATAAACTGTATAAAAGTGAGCGTGAACGCCATGGGTGAGTGTGATGTCAGCCATAGCGTTCAGCACCACTCAAATGAGGCTCATGATGCTCACTGTTACAGGAGCAAATCTGGAGCCAGGCTCTGTGTTCTGAATAGGATTTTTTGTTGACTGACAAAATAGTGAAAAAAAATTCAGGATCATATAGAGCAGGTTAATACAAACATTTTAAGTCCAAAATGACGAGGCTCACTGCAGCAGTGACAGAGAGAGGGGCGACAAGATCCCAATGTAAATCAATTGGAGCCAGGGTCAGAAGGAGCCGGAAGAGCCTCCTGGTGCACTTCCTATTTCCTATAGGAAGATTAACTATTAAAGTCTATTAAAATTAACTATTAAAGTCTGTATTTGATTTGAATTTATTCTGGTTAAGATTAAATAATTGCCCTTTACATTATGCAGTGTAATGTAAATCTAATGGATTGAGAAGAAAAGTGACTGAAATACATATGCATTTTGTGGTATAATAACTTATAGGGAAGAAACTGACAGGGAGGGAGACAATTTTTCATCCCATCAGGCACATTGTTTTGCTAAGAATTAAACCTCTCTGGCTCTATCCAAGACAGCTGATTCACTGTCATGGTGCATTATAGTGAGAAAGGGTAGAAAGTAGAAAGCGGAGATTGATGAGAACTTTGTGGAAATTGCATGAGACTATACCAGACAGTGTTGTGTCTGTGCCATGATGCAATATAAAACTAATATTGGCCTTAAAACTGTGGGTGCTTTTAGATTAGATTGTTTGTCTTCTTATCTTACCTGCAGAGTCACAATACAGACTGAAGAAAATACATTCATATTATCAAGAGGAAGAAGTACTGTATATGTGTCTACATTCAAAGAGCACAGGTGAAGGGCAAACTTGTCAATGGTCTTATAATGTTTACAGTGGCTGAGTGGTTTGTTCTTTGTCTTTCAACAAGGAGGTTGTGGGTTAGATTACCAGGTTGCTAACAACAGTTGTTTGCCCCCATGGATTTTCTCTGGCTACCAGCTGTGTCAGTAAATAAGGGACTTTAAAGAGACTGATCTGGTTGATGTATGCAACACTGTCTATTACAAAGACATTGTTTATTGGCTATATGATTGTTTGGTGACAAATATCTACCGGTAATTGTCAAATATTTGAAATGTGCTCTACCAGATTTTTACTTAAAACGTGAAAAAACAGTGGTAGTTCATTTCAAAGAAAGGTTATTATGCAACATGCAACTATTTTGAGCCTTTTATGGTCCCATCAAAGCATCAAAAGGTTTTAGATATCATGCATTCATGTTTGAGTAATCTTGCGATTTCTCCCAGGCACTATTCGAATCCTCCTTTAAGAGTACCACCCTATCCAAAGCTGAGCTCATAGGCCTATGTTACCCATTCTTTAGCACAGCCAATATTCATAAATATACAAAGTAGGATACAAAATAATACACTACAGCCTGATGCACACTGATTGTGTTGTGATAATTCTCTGAAAAGGGAGGAATTTAGCTTGAGGAGCAAGAGGGGCATCAAAAAGGAATCGTCAGAATTGAAACTAAGCATCAGTGTTATTCATATAAAATTTAACCTAATGTTTTACAATGTTCAGTTCATAGTATTTTTAACTTAGCAAAAATATTTTATACAGCTATGGTCAGTTTTTGCTCTTCACTTTTGGCTTTTTCCTACAGGAGCGCTGACCCAGACTCCCAGAGCAATAGTAAATGTGAGTAGTGCGGTCAGAGGTTGAGATCATGTGACACTGTGAATGTGTTCCAAAAAAAAACATCAGAGCCACAGTGACCTAACCGTCCTCTTCTCTGTGACCACCAGGGGACCATCCCATCGATCAACTGCTCCGACTGGACACAAGCAAGGTCAACACAGTCAAGCAGGTATATGACAAAGCAAGAAAGAAGTGCTGAGGTAGTTTTAAGACTCTGGTGCACTGGGACAAAGTCGATATTTTTAAGACAGAAAAGAAATAGTAAACTAATTTCTAATTAGGATCTGGAATCAATCTGGCCACAATACGAATGCTACAATATACACAAAGACAAGACAAGAATACTTTTATTGCATTTATTTAGGTGCAGGTTTGACGCAGTGTAAATTTGTTTTAGATTTAAAGTTGCACTGTGTAACTTTTCTGGTGGGGGAGTTGGTGACATGCTTGTTATAGCTTTGCCTGGAATGTTACTCAGTATGTCACTGAATGTATCTTGCATTTATTCAATTAACAATGTTTTAAATGCTAAAAAAACACAATGAAAAACATCTATTGGGAGGAACCGCAGATTTGACCTGTAACTTGCCTTGGCAAAGCAGTGTTAGTTAGTTAGTTAGATAGATAGATAGATAGATAGATAGATAGATAGATAGATAGATAGATAGATACTTCATTGATCTCAAGGGAATTTCAAGTTTAGCTGCAGGAATGTACTGCCCTCAGTCCTCAAATGTCTCAGTGCAGTTTAACAGGAGGACTGGTTATCTCCATGGAAATGCAGAAAACTATCTTTAAGTTTGACAGACACAATTACACAACTGAGACAACATTAGCTGGATATAAAACTGGATGGATTTTTTTTTTATTCATATGCATATAATTTGTTACATTAGATTTAGAATTTTAAATACAACTGAATTTCTCACTTTGAATGTTTTAACTCTGTTGTTTGAATCTGATGTTTGAATCATTTTTATTCTGAATTTTAGTTGCTGAAATTTTAAATCAATATGTTTCAAATTCAAAATAAAAATGTCACCTTTTAAAATATTCAGCACTGATATTTTCAAGTCCTCAAATTCAGGAGTCAAAATTCAGAGTGTAAAACTCACACTGAAAAATTTCACAACAAAGCTCCAAGATGCCAAGGCAGAAGCAATCGATCCTGTGAGGAGGACAGAGGCTGTTTCCTATTGGCCATTCTCCTCAGTGGGCGGGGTTTACACTTAAGAAATAAAAGAGATGAGGTTTGGATGAGGCTATTTCTGACCAATCACATCGCTTCACTGCACCATTTCCTGCTTAAATTAGATCGGACCATTATTTTAATAGATCCATGGATCAGACACTTAAAATTTCAGCAGCTAAAATTCAGAATAAAAATAATTCAAACATGCTTTAATTTAAGTTAATGAGTTAAAAAATCCATAAAAAGAAACAAATTATCTTTCATAAATACACAACAAATTTTATCTCGTAGATGTACAAAAATAGTCACTGGACGTGTTCCAACCAAACACAATGGAATGTCTCCTCATTATTAATATAGCAAATATTTAGGATCAATTACCTGATGCTTCATGACAAACTGATCACCCACAAAAATGCATTATATTGTCAATACTTCTCAACAATTTGGCAGTATAAAATGATCCTGTCAGACAACGATTTATCTCCTCCTGTGCCCTACTTTCACTTCCTTCCTGTACTAACTTCCTTCCCAATTCTTTCAGGCCATTTTACACTTTGTCAACACGAATATGTCCTCTCTGGGTCTGCAGGTAGCTGATATGGGCAGACAGGTAAAAAACACACATTGCACAATATTCACTGTGGCATTGATGACTTCTCCAGAGATGCTATCCCTACCCCATATCTCCTTGTTATTTCCAGTTCGCTGATGGTGTAATCCTGCTGTTGCTGATTGGACAGTTAGAGGGCTACTTCATCCCACTTCATGATTTTAACCTGACTCCTGTCAATCAATCTGAAATGGTATGGATTTTTTAATGCTTTTTGTGAAACTATGTGCACTATTTTAACTAAATGGTAATGGGGAACATTCCAGTAAATCTCCCATACAGTGACTTTTCCAATTGACATTCTGACAACATATAATTGAGAGTTTAGAACACAACCTATTGGTGTATATTCATGCAGAGATACTAACAACAACAGTGCACTGGTTAGAAAGGTGCATTTTACAGCCTCACTGATAATACAGCCCACTGCGTGCCCTTAAACACAGCCCTGCATTAGAACAGCACACTCACACTCACTTATCACAGATGCAAATCAAAACTACATTTGAAGGAACGTCCTGTATTTTCCTAAAGCGGAGTAGGTCCAGAACAGACACATGTTTCTCCATATAGTGCTGTTATTCCACTGACACTGTCGCTCCTCCATAAACACTTAAACGAGGTGGGCTCCTTGCTGCCCTGGCACCTCTAACTCCACTGTTCTGTCCGGATCTTCCAATTCACTCAAACTAGCTCAGAAACTAGCTCACTGTTTGATTAAATGATGACCTGCAAAGTGGTCCCTCGTGTATCGCGGGGTTTCATTCTAAAAATAACCTGCGATAGGTGAAATACGCGAAGTAGTCAACTTTATATTTTACAATTATTATATCTGTTTTAAGGCTGTAAAACCCCTCACCACACACTTTATACACTTTTCTCAGACAGGACAGTTAACCCTTTTTGCATTCTTTAAACTTATTTCTGCTGTCATCCTTATGTTATTTTCCTCCTTCTTTATGTAATGAATCGAAGATTCATTTATTCCATAATGGAGCCCTGCAGCACAGAGTCCTGCATTGGTCCATTTTTCGAGAGCAGCACCCACACAGTACAGCACTGCACTCGCCCGTTAACCTGAGATTATATCAAACTTCTGCGCTGCCTATGCCACGGACTGAACCTGTATTCATACACTGTAAAAAAAAAAACATGCAAAATTGTACTAAAAAAAATCTGCGAAACAGCAAGACCACGAAAGGTGAACTGCGATATAGTGAGGGACGACTGTATTGCTAATAGAGGTGCGCGTATGGCAGTTACAGCCGTGGACTCCGCGGCTAAACCGCGGGTCGGGCTGATGATGTGACGAAAATAAATATTTTAATTAAATTCGGGTAGGCGGCGGATTCACTACTCAAATAAAAAACTCTGAACTCGGAGCAACTGGGAGGAGACCGAGCAGATGGCGGGCGGGTGCGGTTTGGAAAACTGGTCAAAAACTGGTTGCAAATGGATAGCGGGCGGATGATGAGTTTTACGATGCGGTTGCGGATGAAAAAGTAGCCCATCCGCGCACCTCTAATTTCTAACTAACATGTGAAACTACAAACAGTGACTTGTTGCTAAAAGTGTTTTATTTTTAGACACTTGGCTGAAAGTTAGCGCTGCTGTTGTTGTCTCTTGCACATGCGCACGTACTAGGAATATTTTATTTAGCGCTGTTTGAGCTAGCTGTGGTCCTCAGTGCGCATGCGCAAACCTCTAAAACAACTGGCTGGTCTCTGGTTGTAAGAGCTCATGCAGACAGCTGCACTCTTAAACATGTGCCTCCAGGCCTCAGTAGAAGGGCAAAACAACACAAGTTACTGACATTCGGAACCGCAGGTGCTGCAGTCTGCTCAGTGGCCAGTAGAGTGGAGTGAAGGACACCACCACTACAACCATGTTTCAAACAGACAGAAGTAAAAACGGGATTATTTGGAGATAATTCAAAACTATTTAATTATACTTTTGACACGAATAATTTTAGATTTTATTAGGCAACCACTTCTTCCCTTGATTGCCCTGACTGCACACCACTGCTGCATGTTATTTAGATAAACTTAAAGGTTCAGAAATCAGATAATAATCAGATTTTTGGTATGCATGTGAACAGTTACATCTGAGTTTATTCTGATTGTTCACTCTCCTGCAGGTGTTGACATGGGAAATTTTCAAAAGAGACAAAAAATAAAAGGGAAAATACTAAAAATTGAAAGAGTTACTTTAAAACTCAGTGTTCATTGTCTTCCAATTACGACAGTTAACCAGGTGTTTTTGGTAATCGGATTTCACTTGGGCATGTTTTTTTTTTTTTTTTGCATCCACTGAAGCAGAAAAACAGACTACTTATTATCAGATTTGTCAGAAAAATGAAGTAGTAGAAGATCATTTTACACTTCATGACTGCAGTAATTGCTACTAATGTCATGCCTTCCCTGTAACAATCTCTGATGCTGCCTTATTTGAACCAAGAAGACGAGAACATCAAAAAGTATTGTTTCTAATGTGGTGGATCTGGTGGTGTGACGAGGTTTTGAATTCTTAACAAAGTGATAAAAAGACTTGTGCAGCACATGCCTGGTCTGATCCATAATACATTATAGTGCTTGTTCCCTGTGAAAAGCTGTGACATGCATGCAGTGCTGGGCTGGTTTGTTCTGCTTGTAAAAAAGCTATTCACAGCAGTTTAAAAGTGTTTAGATCAACAACTTGTAGACCTACATGTGACAATGGGAATAGTAAAAAAAATATAATGTGAATTGGGTTGGTTAGTGTTGGAGAGTATCCATATATATGTTTCTCTGGCACTGTAATACAATTTAGTATTTTCTGATTTGCAAACCCATATTTGATCTACATCAGGCTTCCTTCATGGCAAAGAAATATGTGTAAATATTTTCCATATGTGGTGTGACAGTAAAGGTACATTGTGTTACTTTTATAGCAGAAACCACCTGCTTATCTTCATAAAGATGTCATTTATCTGGTTGGATCTGTGGAGAGCAAAGCCCACTCACAGAAAGAATATATGCTCAATGTACTTTTGAGCAATGAACCTGGAAAAAAGAAGTATAATACAATAAAAAACATGACAAATAGATACTTTAATGTCATACTTTAGAACATTCTCCTACTCTACCAGAAGACTTACCTTTAAGCCAAAACTGTAATCTTATTTAATTGTTCCTTAGTGTGTGTAATGCAATGAAAGCTACAATGGACTGCTGATAACAACAAAATGCACTTTACAACATCCATGCAAAATCTTGTACTTTGTGATAGAGAGTAGTCTCTAGTCTGCCTAATCTAATGAAATGTGTTTAGCTTTTTCATGTAATATTGAAAACACTGATGGTGTCCTTGTATTTCCATCTCAAAATCACATGTTAGTCCAGTTCACTTTCAATCACTGTCAGTATCTGTACTGCGATACCATATCTGTCACTATTGCTTAGCGCTCAACTTCTTGTCTTATGTCTTCTAGCTCCATAACGTGACTCTGGCCTTAGACCTCCTCATAGACGCAGGAATGGATGTGTCCAGCATTTCTCCACAAGGTCAGAACTACAGATATTATATAGAATTTTGGTTCCAGCAGGTAAAATAACAAGACAAAGGAGTTGTGATTCAAGAGTAGCACATAGACTTAGTATGAGCAATCAAAACTGCACATAGGCTTTGGGAATGTGCAATCACAACTGCACATGGACCTATTTGCAATCCAAAGTATATATAGGCTTTGGGAATGTGCAATCAAAACTGCACACTGGAAATGTGCAATCAAAACTTCATGTAGACAGCAAAATCCCTGTCTACATAAAGGCCCCCTGTGTATTATTCGTAGTTATTTTGGTCTCTTACTTTTGTTTAATGGGGAATGGTGTCTGGAATGTGCTTGTGATGTTGGTGATGTCTATTCTGTTGCGTTTTGTAAAGTATGTGATCCTCTGTCCCAAGACAAATTACTCTCTGGGGAGACAGTGATGGGATAGTCATAAAACACACATTGGCATTTTCAGGGTAGACCACAAAAATGACAAAGACTATATCATATCTAAAGAAACAGCACACGAAACACAGACGTTCAACTCTTTTGTCGCTTGAGGCTGGAACTAGCACCCAAAACTCTATTACAATGTTACAGTCTCAAATATATTACTCAAGAAGGTGACTAAAGCCACGCCAAGAAGTTACTCAAGTAAATGTAAGTGAGCGCTACCCACCTCTGCCAGCAATAAAACTATGCAGAATATCTTAAATAGAGAAGTGATTAATATTAGTGTCAATCTTAAAGGTGCACTGCATAATATTTGTAGTGGAGGGTCCACCAACTGCTTATTTCCATGGAAATTCTATTACTTTGTTTAGAAAGTTCCAGAGTATAGATTAAACCTATCTATCACGAGGGAGACAAGCAGGTTACAGCACTACGCTACATTACAATTCAGATCTGTGGAGAGTCCCCCCTGTTCACAGAAGGAATTATTGTGTTTAATGTCATACCATGGAAAATTCCAGGCAAAGCAATATTGTATACGCTTCATGAAAGTAGATACAAAGTGTAAAGGGAAGCAGGCAGGGGCACTGATGGAAACAAGTATGAATCATTTATTGTTTGATGACTATTATGATAAGCTAGGAGGTCATTATCGTTCATTTTGTCATCCATTTGGAGAGGACAGAGACAGAGGGAGAGATGGGGAGGAAGTGATTGACAGTTAAACCTGCCGCAGTCATTGTGTTTGTGTGAAGAATGGGCCATCATCAGTATTCATGGGAAGAGGTGTCATGCCAAACAGACAGATGCAGGGAATGTGTCACTTGTTGTGCTAGAATAACTCATTGGGAAAAACAGACAAGTGTCATTTTTATTTTGCTTGTGTTTCCATAGCAGTGTTTTCTATTATATCACTTATATCATAAAATGTATGTTAAGTCATATGTTTAGTTCTTCCTTCTTGATAAAACTCATGTAGAATACAGAAATAAAAAGACAATAACTTAAAGATACAGTGTGTACTTAGGGAGAGGTGGAACATTACCTACATGATGGAAATAAATAATAAGTTAAAGGCATACTTCTGAGCATTCTCCATGGAGATAGGTTTTGTGCCATACTGTGGAAGAATATATCCAAATTCCTCTAAGGAAGCCTAGCAGGAGGAGATGCTTGCCCACTCAGAGTAAAGACGCAAGCTTGTTTAAGTTTAAGCCAGCCCATAAAACAAACATGTCTTTGTAGTTTTTGTTGTAAAAAGTTGTATACTATGGTTTTAAGAAAAAGAGAAGCAACAAGATAAAGCAAGTAGCAGTTGATATTGTTGTTACTGTTGTTATTTTTAGTTTTGGGTACCAACCTTAACATCTAAGCTTGTAGTCACACTGGCATGTTAAAATCTGGCATTTATTCACACCTCAATATTAAATTACTGATTAATAATATGTAAATATATGAATCAAGTCATTATGTAAGTTATGGAGTTATTACTTAATTCATGGCTGAAACTAAAAATGCACCTAGATAAATAAAGAGATGGATAGATAGATAGATGGAGATAGATAAATAGATGTACAGTGGATGACAATTTCAAACAATGACTCAAATTAGTTTAACTGTGTACAAATTTTGAGGAAAAAAATGAATATTTAAAACCATGTTTTTTATTTATAACCCATTCACAAGAGACACAGCAAATGATTTAGTCCAAATGTTATGATCTGAATATTTCACAGGATTATATAACTCTGAGCTGTACAGAAATGGAAACAGTCTGTGCTCATGTGGGCTACAACATATAGAGATCATGCATCTAATGAGTCCAGGGAATTCAACATAAAGATACCAAGCAGCTCATTCTGTGCCAGTACATTTACTGCCAGAATAGACAAATGCTTTTCACTGTTTTTGTATGTATACAGTCAGATGCCCCGGTCATAACCTTGCAGTATTGTTATGGACTAGTTAGTATGAGAGGATTGCAAAGTTGCAGCCAAGCTATGTGGCTGTGATTTCAAATTGTGGTTTGGGAATACATTTGTATGACAGAATATATTTGTTTGGACTAGTCAGATGTGGGTAGTGTTACATTTACGTGAGCAAACTTTTAAATAATATTGTACCTCTGAGTAGGTTTCTGGTACACCTTACTTATATATTCCTAGTTGAGTAATATATTTGACAGTGTAACAGTACTTTTACTTGAGGAAACATTTTGGTCAATCCAATCTATCCTCTGTGAGTAGTGACAAAGGCATCTCAAAATATTAAAATAATGTTTATTACTATGGGTTTGAGATAGCATTACTACTAAAAACTCCCCCATCATCCTCTTGAACCAAAGACCAACCATATGAAATGAGTGCCCAGTTTATATTAAAATAGTTTTCTGGGTTTGCTTAGCATGACCCAGTGTGACCCAAAAAGACCGAGCCATGCCCCTGTCCCACAATGGTTTAAATTCTGAAAGGCTTAGTTTATTGCACTGCGTCCAGTCTGACCTTTTTCATACTCTGTGGGTTAAGAGGAGGTGGTGTTTTTATAAAATGCTCTGTCTAAAGTCCATTTCTGCTCTGGAAAAGGCTCCCTGGACGCTGCACTTTGGATCGATCACTGATCCTGACAGGTGGGCTCAGTGGAATGATTGAAGGATGGGGGGAATCAAATGCCAAGAACACCTTTTTGACTAAAAGGACTTGATATTGACTAAATAAATGTTTTGTAAAATTTGGGTCATAATAAAAGCGAATTGGTTTTATGTGACGAATTAGCAACTACTTTCTTATAGTGTAGTAATCAGTTACAGTAGCCTATATGTTCAAGTACTGGCACTGCTTCGTCTGTGGACTAAAGTCCCCAAACCATCTGTTTGTAAGGCAAGTCAGCTATAAAATACTTCTTAAGTTCTGTGATCATCGAAACATGTCAAATACATTTGCATACATCAATATGCGTTGGATATAAGTTCCATATAAATTACACTTAGGTTCAAAGCACATTACTCATAAGTTATGGGTATGCTGGACATTATCTCAACGTATTTGGACTTATGAGAAACTTACAGTTAACGTGTGTGAACGTGTGTGAACGTGTGTGAACGTGTGTCAACGTGTGTCAACGTGTGTCAACGTGTGTCAACGTGTGTCAACGTGTGTCAACGTGTGTCAACGATCGTATGGTTTACCTACAACTTATGGCCCTCGTATGCAGGACGTATAAGCATGCGCTGACATACTTTGAGAAATTTTCAGCATGCTCAAAATTTGTCAATGACCTTGCTGTATGTCGATGTTTGCCAGTGTGCTTCAGCGTGCTCATAACTTATACAAAACTTACCTATAACTTATCTGATGTACACCAGTGTATTTGCTAAATTTTTCATGCATTGGAATATGCTGTCTAAATCGTCAAGGTGTGACAGCCCCTTTAAAGGTGGACTATGTGAGGCGATGTGTGATGTATCTGCCACTTGTTTGACTCTATAAAGATATTAGTGCTTTGTCTGGAATGTGCCTCAGTGTGGCTTTAAATGTAACATTATGCAGGTAAGAATGTATGTTTTTCCAAAGAATTGTTTAAAATTGATAACATCGAATACCGGATAGATATGTTATATATTCCAGTGAAAGCAACAACATCTCTATGGAGACAAGCAAGAGCAGTGCCAGAAAAGTTACGTGGTGCACCTTTAAAATACAGAATGTTTTGCTGAAAAAATATTAAAGAACTATAAACTAAATGCTTATTTAGTTCCTCGACTTGTGGTACATTCAGTTAGAGCTTAATCTGCAGCGTCATCCTCTCACCACTCCTCAGGCACTTTCAAGACGCTTTCACCCTCATTAGCTGATAACTACTCCCCCAATCCCTCTCAACAGGTCATAGATCAGAAGCCCCCAAAACACATTAGACGCAAATCCAATCAATAAATTCCAGACGGAGACGCCATCTTGATGCAACTAGCTAGACCTCCCTTTGCGCTAACTGAATAAACATGTGACAAGCAAGATCGACTCCTGAACCGGCTAACCCAATTACGGTGCATTGCTCCTTCCTGCGCTAGCCCATGTGCGGTGGGACTTTCCATTCATTAACGGTAATTAAAAAGAAACAAAAATGAATTGAATTTTCCACAGGTTGCTAGCTTAGATGAATTGCCCTCATTGAGACATTAGAGGTTCCAGTGTTGAGGTGGAGAAGTTCTGATGGAGGGAGGGGTTGTTTATAGAAAACCGGAGTGATTGTAAGGAGCGAGAATAGGACTCAAAGTGCCTATAGAGCACAGTGTCCGTGATGGATCCACAGGGGAAGTGGAGAGAATCCATCCAACATCGATTAGCTCACACTTTTAGACGTGTCTCTGAACCACCCAGAGAGCACATTCTGCTTCTCGGCATGCCCTTGGTTTAGACGACAAGGGGAAAAAAGACGAAACTAAATATAACAGAAATGAAATTAAAGGATCTGTATGTAGCCTGTGCCGTCAATGTTTTAAACACACAATCACAACTCAGATCAATCAAGCTCTGTTGCCTGTGCCTAAACCTTCACAGATGACACATAGAAGTTTTTCTCATTCTCAGTATATGGACAGTCCAGGCCTCATATTAAAGCTCAGAACCTCCAGAATTCCCTTAGTGCTTCTGCTGCAGAGGCTGCACTAACTAGCACTGTTTTATGACTGGCTGCAGGAGCTGGAGTTTAGGTAGTGATCATTCAGATCAAAGAGAGGCATTTTAGTTTCAAACCAACTGGATTTCAACATTGCAGCTGACAACTCAAGTGAGAGGCTCATTCTACTATCAGACTAGATCATCATCTTGAGACCCAAAACATCTAACTATAATATAAAAGACTTGGCCATCATGCCCAGTTTTCTGTAATGAAGAACAGATCAGCATTACAATTGTGATTAGTAAAAACTATGTCGGATTCTTACATACAGATCCTTTAATGAAGTGGTTCTGAATTATATTAATTTTAGCATTAGCCTTAGGACAGGACTAAACCAAGTCTATGTCAACATGAAACTGAGGACCAGGACCAAATAAATGCATGAACGCACCCTTTGTGATATAGCAAAAAGGTATAAGGTTTTGAATAAATGCCAGATGCATATGTTTAATGTCATACTATGGAACATTCCAGGCAAATCAATAACATCTTCATGGAGACAAGCAGGTAGCAGACCCTCCACTAGAAAACGTGTGCCATGCACCTTGAAGACTATAAAGAGTGTAGTCAGGGTCAGACTAGAAACACATTCGGCCCTGGCATTTGTCCTCGGGTCTGACCCAACCCACTTGAAATGGAGGACTAGGGGGTGTGGGTGCTGCGCTTTTTCAATATGTATCATTTTGCAATGACCATCATTTGTACAAGTTTTGATGATTTTAAATTCACTAAATGAATCTAATCTTGTGCTGCAGACATCGTCTCTCAGGAGTTGCAGGCCACGCTGAAGGTTCTCTACGCTTTATTCAAGAAACACAAGGAGAAGTGAAAGCCCCACAGCTCAAAGGATGAAAAGATTTAGTTTTATCTTTTATGGAGAGATCTACAGCCTGAAGATGCTGAAAGAATAGAACATGACCAGACCAAAGAGACCTGGATTATAGACTCGAGTAAATCATGAAATCACAGATAAAATGGGAACATATTAGAAAAATTCACTGTGGATGGAGATTTATCTTTCACATCAAGCACATGTATGCCTGTCATCACGTATTAAGTTTAAGAGATCTGAAAGTCAAAGCAAAGCAAAAGTTGAGAATATGAGACTGTACAAAATAGGTTAAAATGTAAAGCCCCATTTAAATACGAATGGACTTTTTTCCCCTCAAGTGAAAACATAGAGGCTGTTATGAAAGCAGACATCTGTGGAAAAAATACTAAATTGGAGCACCCATGTGTTGGTGTTGTTATATTATGTGAGGGCATTTTGCAGGGTGCGGACCATATGGAATCAACTGTCTGGAACAGGATCAAAATAGGGTAAGTCTACTGTTATGTTTTAGGAAGACATTATGGTTCGTATCTCTGGTATTTAGTAAAAATACCAGAGATACGTACATAGATGATTATTTCACATTTTGTTCATTGTAAGACGCAATATTGACCTAAAAAGACTCAAAAGAAATAGTTCTACTGACTACATGTTCAAAATTGAAAATTGTCTGCTGCTTGCGTCATTTCTTCATAGCTGTGTTTCATAAGAGGAAGCACCAAATTATTTTTTTTAAAAGAACTACTCCTCATTTTTTAACCATTTGTGTAGAGTCAAAATCTTTCATTGACAGGACTAAAATAGGTTAAAACCATACGTGTGAAGATTCCCCTTAGATATAGATCATTTTATGCAAATAAAATGTTTGAATGAACATTTTATTATTTATTTATAAAATGTTTGAATGAACATTTTATTCATTCAAAGCAATAACATCTCCATGGCAACAAGTAGGACCTCCTTCAGAGTACATTTGAATAGGGTTTATGAAGATGCAAGCCTGCTTACAGTACATGTGCTTTTCTATGTTTTTCGAGCAATAAAACATAATTTTTTGTCTATAAAGTTACACAGTGGTGCTTTAAAGAGTTACATTTTTTCCAAGAATCACAAGCTGGATGGAGTTAGGTGATAGTTAATGTTAAGGTATACTTTATTAATCCCTTATGAGGGTAGGCTCAAAGCTACCGATGAAGTAAGCCCAAGTTAATTTAGTCTAATGTCTCCTTCACAATACAACACAGCATCTCTATATTATTCTCATATAAGCCGATTGCACAACATAACATTCTGCTTGCACATAGCTGAACAGCAAATAACTCCATCCTTATTCAACCTTATCAGCTTTATACCACCACCATCACCAAGGTCAAGTGAGTTTTTCTTCGCTTTAATGAAGACTCTGAGGACGACCAGGGATGTTGTTTTGAGACGCCTTTTTGATTTTTTGATTTCTATGTGACACTTGACTACATCAAAAATACAAAATAAAGGCAACTGATTCGTAGTTTTAAACTTACAAACACATTCTTGTATTTCCTTGTGTCCTCATGAGGTATTCAGTAAGGGCTGGATGATAAAGGTTTATAAAATACTTGTATAAAATGTGAATATGCACCATCAGTCACTCCATTTACTGTGCAGAGAGATTTCAGACTGTGCTAAACAACTGGATTCTAATCAAACCACTCTTGTCCCAGTCTACATGCAGGTCAAAGAACCAAACAGGTGCGGAGATGTTCAGGGGCATCTGGTAATTTAGCATTGGCACTAATCATGCATTTAAGGTGCATTGCATAACTTTTCTGGAGGGTCTGTCAAATGCTTTTTTTCCGTGGAGATGTTTTGTCTGGAATGTTTCACAGTATGGTATGAAACCTTTCAGTCTTCATGAAGACCAAACCAGAACAAGGCAACCCTGCTCACAGTCAGAATGCTTTTTTTAAAGGTATTTCTGAGCTATAAAACCACCCACTGAATAAATCTAAGGTTTAATGTTTGTCATCCTAAGGAACATTCAGGCAGAATAATGACATAGTCGTAAAAACAAGTAGGTGACAGACCCCCGATCAAAAAGTTACATCGGGGTTTCCAACCTTTTTTTTCCAGTGAGCTACCTTTACAAAATAATAATGCCAGAGAGCTACTGTAACCATTTCAGCAGTCGCAAAGAAACTGAGTAAATATAAGAGCCACGGCCAGCCTTAGATGCTTATTGAACATAAACCGTTATCCATTTATCGGTGCATCCATGCATGTAACCAAAATTATACATTTACAATGGTAATTAATCAAATTTGACTTATACATATAATTCAAAAATCTCTTGGCAAGCTACTAAGAAGGGAGTGGAGAGCTACTGGTAGCTCCTGAGCTACAGGCTGGAGACCCCTGAGTTGCATAATGCAACTTTAAACCACACTTTTGGAAGACACAGATACAGTAAGTGACATTTCATTTACGGTGGCCATTTATGTTTTTGACATGCTATGGACTGTGTTACTCACAAGTTCTTTGCTCTCCAGTGAAGTTGGTTTTGTTTTCACTTTAACCCAGCAATCCAAAACAGTAAAACAACATATGCTAGTCCACAGGAGAGGGCCCTTAGTTTGTCATCACAGTTTATCTTAAATGAGGGAGAAATGGCAAAAAAAACAAAAAAAAAAACAAAAAAACATGTTCAATTGACACTTTGCAGCTAATGTCATCAACATTTCCTGAAAGTGTCATGTGAACATGTGTGAATATGTGAGCTGATTTGTGCTCTTAAACAAGTGTCTCATACATAAAATTACATCTAAACAGGACTTTGTATGTTCGTATTGATCACACACTCCTGAAAATATGTTGTTTAAATACATTGTTATTCATTTGTTTGTACTTTTTCTTCAGTTTTTAGACATTCTTATCTTTGATGACTGTTTGTTGGTGTGCATTGTGTCACCATGATAACGCCTAAACATTCCACCATAGTTTCTTACCCCATGCAGTTGAACGCCTCTCCGAGTCTTTTATGCAATTTGATAAATCAGTATAAATTGAATCCAGTTTCCCTAGCATGCAGGTAGTGACTGTTATTCTGCCTGTCAAAACATCTCCAAATTCAAATTAGATTCAACTTTAAGCACATATCTCAGTTAAAAGTCAACATTTTTTTCATCCATCTTTCTCTTTGTGACTTGCCGTGGTCCTGGCCAGCTGGAGCATTGCCTATTTCCCATAAACAATATAAAACCTCTTCCTTAATATGCGTTTTTTTTGTTTGTTTTTTTTTTTAAGTTGCTTCCGGACTTCTCATAACCCCTCTGTTTTCTGTCAGCCCATTGTCATCTTTGAAGAAATAGTGAAATTTTGAAGCTATTGCGTTATTGACAAGCTGAACTCTTACCAACACAAGAGAGGAGCAGAGTTGAATAGGGTACAAAGAATCAAAGAATAGACCAGGCACAAAAGCAGCAGAAATAAATCGAAAAGAAAATTACATCGCAAGTTTGATTCCTCTGGTTAAATGGCCTGTATATTGTATAAGAAAATTATATTCACGTAATGTCCCCTGGCTTTGTAGTGTTAATGTATGGGTAAAATCAACTATAACAGTACAAGGAAGGAAGTGAAGTTAAAGGTGCATTATGTAGCTTTTTTGGAGAGCATTCCACCATCTACTAGTCTCCATGGAGATGTTATTGCTTTGCCTGCAGTGTTTTTTACGATATGGCATTAAAAATATCTTGCATGTTTTCACATTTTTGCAAGGACAGGTGTTCTTATTGCTGAACAAATAGAAAAACATGCATTCTAACTCTAACTCCTTTCCATAGATCAAAGTGGCATCACCCTCTTGTTTACTTTTCATTTAAATTAAGAGGGTAGTACATTTATAGTCGTAGGTGAAGAAGTAGCAGAAGTAGAAGTTGGAGTAATGGCAGTAGTAGTAGTAGTAAACTGTCAATACTTTTCGTAATTCTCCTTCTTCCTCTCAGTTTGGGTCTTAACTAAAATAACCACTGCACTGTAGTCACTTGGCACTTTCTCCTCTTTGTTTCTTGCCTTGTGTTTGTTGACATTCAGAAGCCAATTTATTCTTTTCCATGGAGGTGATGGAGACGACATCCAATTCACTTTTTAGTTGCCTTGACATTTGAAAAACTTTGCATAATTTGCTCTGCAGTTGGTCTCAAACAGTCAGTAGAGATACGTTTGTTGTTCTTCGAGATAATGAGTGGTTTGTGTGTAAAAGATTCAAATGTTATGTGGTGCTAAACGTCCACTTTGGGGCCATTAACCTAGTGGTAGTTATTTGAAGTCTGTAATTAAGCATTTTAAAAGAAACAAGCACTTTTAACCATGTTCTAATGGTTGTGAAGTTGTGTTTAGAGTGATTCATGCATGTTTGAGTAGTCCTTTTTTTCCTACATTCACAACACTCATTCCTCTCAAAATTTTGTTTTCACCTACCCCTTACACACGCCCACTGCTCTGTACTTATTTTGTTGTTTGCTGTTTTGAAAATGGTGATACAACAGTATTTTTTGCACAAATACAATGAATCTGCAGCTCACTACAGTGGGCTATAGCTGTGTGAGCAGGACAGCATCGTCTGGCAGTTTGACATTTTGCGGTGATGAGGTTTACAGTGACGTACCATAAAGGGTAAGACAGAAATCAGCACTGCTATTTTCAATCAGAAGTCAGTGAATGATTTATCAAGTGAATGATTTAGCAATCCAAAAGTACAATATGTATAACCATTAACTGGCAAGTCTATGGGGTCAACAACGGCACACCGGATTGCCCACAGCTAGAGACTTGCTGGTTTAAACTTCATCCAAAATCCTAGTGTCATCTGTTCTGACTTGCTGCAACTGTGGAAAAGCACTTCACCCACTTTGCACACATCTGGAAGAGCAATGGTCTGTATAACCACCAGTGTTGGGGAGTAACGGATTACATGTACCGCCGTTACGTAATCAGAGTACAAATTATGAGTAACTGTATTCCGTTACAGTTACTGTTTCAATGAGTGGTAATTGGATTACAGTTACTTTGCTGAAATAAGTGGATTACAAGGCGGTATTTTCCTGTTTTCACATTTTGTGCTACATCCCATTTATTTTTATTTTTTTATTTCGGTAATTCCACTCGTTGCCGGAAACCCAAACACAGAAAGCGACAATAAGAGCGATGTAAACGTCATGTTAAAGTTGGCGGGTCAGTCAGTCACACAGTGGAAGCAGCAGTGCATTGGTAAAAACGCATTTGTGTCTTGGAAATTCTTCTCCCGATGTGAGATATATATATATAAAAAAACAAATATAAAATCGCCTACAACTTAAATGTGAAACTGGAGCCACTGGCACTGGTGAAAACAACCTGCATAGATAATATCTGCACTACTGTCCTATAGTGACCTGCGACATGAGTGGACGTGCACACAAACACACACACACACACACACAAACACACACAAACACACACCTTCATCATCGTCATCAACCTGAGAACCCGCGGACCACGTCTCCTTCCGTAGTTACAGCGCGGACACCGTCGTCATCTCGTGCGCCGCGTGTGCACCGTGTTTTCTCGCGTAAACCGCGCTTCCTCCTGTGCGCCTCTAAACCAGAACTAACACCAGGACTAAACCAGGACTAATACAGGACTAAACCAGGACTAACCCAGGACTGAACCAGGTTTAAACTAGGACTAAACCACGACTAAACCAGAACTAAAGACCTGGTCTAGGCCTGGTATAAACCAGGTCTAAAATCAAGAGTAAACCAGGTCTAAAAATCAGGACTAAACCAGGACTAAACCAGGACTAAACCAGGTCTAAACAACATGACACCTAACAGTAGGTTGACATAATTTAAGGTGATCTCATATAAAAAATAATTTCTCTATCAATAATATTTTTTTAATATGGTGAAGGAAAGGCTGATCTTGTTACTGTCTTTTAACAGACAAAACCTCTTATATTAAGATATCGTGGTCTTTGTTTCTCTACAGCAAACAGTTGCTTATTCATGGAGACTTGGGCTCAGACAATTTGAAGACAACAAACAAGAATTTTCA